ATGAAGAGAAAGAGAAGTGAACGAAGCTACGCCCATGCGTGACAGCAGTCTTCAGGTCTAGCGCTAATTTGAGCTTTGGAAAGCGAGAAGAGATCAATGGGGGTGAACAAATGTTTGGTGCGGAAAATGAAGCAGATTTTAAGAACGGTTCTGGAAAAAGTAAATAAACATATGTTGACCGTGGAAGAGAAGAAGATAAGGAAAGAACCAATAAGTAGCATGATTTAGTGGAACGGGGAGTGTTCCAGTTGAGTATCAATGAGGGAGAGAAAGATTCCTATTTAAGAGAATTATAAATAAGTAAGTTCCACTGGCGGCAAACAGAACAAGGCTATCCCCGAGCAGGGATAAGGCTCAGATCAGAATTAAGGGAAAAACTCATGGAGGACCTGTCGTCACTAATGCTAAAGTTAGCGATTCGCGAACGGGAATTGGACATAGGATCGTGTAGAGTAGCGTCATAGGCAAAGGTGTGATTAGAATTTGAAGCTGAAGAATGAAGGTCACCAATAAACATCATAAAAAGGGAAGGGAAAAGTACAGAACCTTGGTAAACACCAGTATTCACAGGCACGGAACGAGACATGGTCCCATCTACTTGTACCGAAATGCCGCGCTTCTTGAGGTCACTTGCTGTCCAGGACACAAGTTCTGAAGGAAAGCCAAACTTGGCTAATTTAGCCGGCAAACCGGCGTGTCAGATACGGTGGAAAGCTTCCGATATATCTAAAGACACCGTATGGGTTTCACCGTGTTTACCAACTGCCGCTAACCATGTATGCAAAATGAGCGCCAGAAGAACGTCGATAAATCGATGGGATCGGGAATCGTACTGGCGATCGATAGGCATATTATTCCACTCTAGGTGAAGATGGAGTTGATCAGCAATAACTAATGTCAAAACCTTCGAAATGACTGGTGTAACAGCGATGAGATAGTAGTTATTTGGGTCAGAGTGGTCGCCGTTTTTGAGGGTGGGAAATATTTTTAATATTTTCCATGGAGTTGAGAATATCTCGAAATCGAGAGATAAACTGAATAAGCGACATAGAAAGGAGCCAGTTTTGGGACGCACGTTTTGAACGCAATGAGAGGGAGCCCGTCGGGTCCAGGTGGCTTGTGTAAGGGATATGAAAAAATGGTTTTCGTGAGGTATGCGAAGGTTTGGATGGGTGATTAGAGAAAAGTAGAACTGGGAGCAAAATGAGAAACAAACACTTTTGCTTTTTCCAATGGGTCGAATACTAAGTTACCAGATGGTTTACCAATGGGTGGGAAGTTAGTGGAACAGAAGTTACAGGAGACTGCCTTAGCGAGTGACCAGAACGTCCAGCTTCCAGAAGGAGCGGTCGCCAGTTGTGCTCAACAAAAAGCTTCTTAGCCTTCTATGGGATGATTGTACATTTGTTACGTGATAACAAGAACCATTGGCTAGAGCTGGGGGAAGGTGACTAACACCTGCAGCGGAACGCTGATTTCTTTTGAGGAACAGCGTGACGACAGGCGTGGTTGAACCATTCTGGAGAAAGAGATTTTTCGAGTTTAGTGAAGTGAAGAATAAATAGATGCATAGCTTGCAAAAGAACTTCGGAGAAATTGGAAGCGGAGATAGGGACATTGGCGGAGAAACAACATTCATTCCAGGGGTAGGAAGCCAGAAAGTTACGAAAGCTGCACCAGTCAGCGGAACCATGGCGCCAGAATGTGCGTCTATAATTAGGAGGAACACTGAAACAAACAATTTGGGTAGAGAGCAAAATAAGACAATAGTCTGATGAACCTAGGATGGGAATCGCAGTAAAATTTGAAATTCGTTGTGGATTAAATGTGAGGACAAGATCGATGGTATGAACGTGGTTGCCAGCACGGTCGGGGATTAGGGTCGAGAAATCAATCAGTCGGTGGAGGCTGTTCAATAGCCCAATGGATTCTGCTTCAAGTCCCAAACAGATGTCTCTGAAGAGTATAACAGTCCGTCCCTGTTATGGGGAATAAAATTACCCAAAATTGCGAACTCAGCTTTGGGTTCTGCTTGAACAATCTCATTTATGTTTGTCGATAAAATATCAAAGAGTGACAGGTCATTACCACTTGGGGAACGGTACACAGTGCAGAAGTGGTGATTGAAAGAAGGGAACCGAAGTATCATCCAAAGTATCCGGAACTTGCGGTTGGAGAGATTTACGTAGGAGAACGGGGTAGAACCAGTTGAATGATGAATGAAAGCACAACACCAGCTTTGGGGATGAACGAAGTGTGAAGGGAATAATTGGGAAACTGAAGATGCATGGTGTCTGTAGAAGCAGAAGGTTGTGTTTCGAATGAAAATGGAGCAAGAGGGGAAGTGAACTGAAGAAGCTGATGTACAGAATCAACACAATGGTTTAAGCCACTAATGTTATTAAGTGCAATTGAGCAGCGATAATGTGCTTGAGAATTGATCTTGTTAGTTGTTTCATTCATATTTAATTGAGACGTAACCGGCAACCTAGTCCTGGAACTTGGAGTGGCCAACCACAGAAGGACCCGATGATTAGGCTGTGATGCTGATTAAGGAGACGGCAGAACCATCTACAAACCCGTGAGGATATCGACGCCACCTTCATTACCTAGCGGCGGAAAAACGGATTATCAAGGTACAAAGACAGTGGCAAAAGGGACTACAATGGCAGGATTGCACGTAAAGCCCAGCAGCACTCAGTCTACTACAACCACGTGCAATCTAAAGCACACTCCCTGGTTGAATAAGTAAATAAATGAGCAAGTAATTAATGTACATTTCACGAAATTCGTAAAGAATGCGTGTACCATTATCATATGTGCAATATAATCACAGAAAAACACGAGTGCAGTGAATATATATATTTCAAACCGGCTTGAGAACAAGCATGGTGCCAATGCTAGTCAAAGATAATGAAAATACGAATAAGTATGAATAAGACGACGAAGAATTTCGTCATCGCTCACCCAATGTTCCCACCAGACACCAGCAATGCTTCGAAGGCATCAGTGGTCAAATACGGAAAGTCGATTGACATCCTCCGCTCTGAGAGGCCAGGTCTAGCAGCCGTAAAGCAGAACACTACGGACCGCGGTGATCAACACCCTTCTCTCAAGGGACAGTCAGATGTCACGATGGCGGTCACAGATGTCGCACGTTGGCGAAAGCTGCTCTAGCTTTCGCTATTCGAGATGTGATCTCTTCCTCAACCCCACCTTTAGCTAAAATTAAGCTCCCGAGGTATTTAAAGCTCTCGGCCATTTCCAACTGATCACCACAGAGGACGAGTGCAGGCACAGGCTCCTGCCAGTCTTGAACCAACAGTTTACACTTTTATGGTGCAAAGCACATACCGTACATGGATATCTCTATCGACACGTGGAGTGTAGCTTGTTGGACTGCCTGTACATTGTCCCCCAACAAGGCGATGTCCTTGGCATACTCTAAGTCCAGAACTCTAGTCCCTGAGAGGAGTTCAACTACCCGTCTGCTTAACCGGACAAAGCGTCCTGTAGAACATCCTCTATGGCAACGTTGAAAAAGAAAGGGGATATAGGGTAGTCTTGTCGAACTCCACTGGAGACGGCGATGGGTAGCGAAAGCTTGCCATAAGCCCCAACCCGACCTGAGGTATGACGATGAAACTCTTTAAGGATTGACACATACTTCTATGGTACTCCATTCCTCGACAAACACCTACATAGTGCGGTCCTAACAACAGAATCGAAGGCCGTGTGAATGTCTAAAAACACAATGATCGTTTGTCTACGGTGAGCATCACTTTGATCAAGCAACTGTAGAAGAGTGAAGGTTTGATCGATACAGCCACGACCAGCCCGAAATCCAGCCTGCCCGTCGCGGGTATGTTCCTCACACGTTTTTGTACAACCTACGAAGAATGACGGGAGCTAGCAGCTTTGACACTATTGGGATCAGGCTTATATCCCTATGATTGGCGCAATCATTGCGCTGACCCTTTTTAAAAATGAGGACGACAACCGACCCTCCCCATGAGGAGGGGACCAGCTCAGTGTTCCAGACTTTAGAGAACAGGACGTGAAATTCTCTAACAAGCTTTTTTCCATCATCTTTAAATAGAGCTGGGGAAGGCCATCGGAGCCCGGCGCTTTGTGACGTCCCAAAGCTTGGATCTCCTTACGGATTTCCGCCACAGAAGGTGGGTCTGTTGAGACACACCATGGGACGTTTGCCGGAATAGCTGTGTGAGAAGCTGACGCTGGTGGCCAGCTTAATTGTGCTTTGAAGCGCTCCGCCCAGCGTGCAAGGGGTCGCTGTTGATTGTAAATGGGCGAACCATCAGCTTCGCAGATCGTTTCGCTCACACCCAAGGCTTTGCTACCGGTGACCCTGATGAGATGGAACAGCTTACGGGAGTTTCCCATGTCGACAGCACGTTCTATCTCTGACGCGCATTGAGTCCACCAGAACTCGCGGTCTCTGTGTAGGCTTTCATTATTTTCACGCTCGCTACGAGTCGTGTTTCATTATGCTCGCTGCCGGTCGGAATTAACCAACGTGCGCAAGAAGGGGTAGAGACTGTGGAGAGATCCAGGGTGTCGCGGCACGGTGTGCCAGACCACAGTCAACTAAACCAGCAGAATGCAGAGCACTCTTGATAAGCGATCAGTGCTGGTTAACGTCATCGGATGGGTTTGGTTCTAGCTTTTTAGCTAGCGCGTTCTGAAAGACAGATAGGCGTGCTGGTTCAGACAACTTATCACAGTCCAACCGTCGTGTCGTGCGTTTGGAACGCCCACCGAAGAACATGGACAGCTTGGCGCAAACTAACGCGCGGTCGGATTCGAGGGGATTCAGGAGGGTGGCTTCAGCTCTCTCACTGAGAGCCACGCCGACTTCAGCAAGACCGGAAATCGCAGCCTAATGGTCTCCAGAGAGGCGTAAGTGAAACTTCACTGATGGGTTTGATGGGGACGTCAATCGGACAATATAACTGGAGTCTTGTACACCACACAGATCAATGACCAGGGTCTCGAGCGTACGAGCTAAACCCGCCTGTTGTCCTATATGCATCAGAGTGCGTACATTAGATGTGGCTAATTTGAATGGGCATCGAGGGCGAAGGAGAACTTCAGCTGGTGGAGGATTCGGTGAGATTTGGACGGCAGTCGAGGTAGGACACGAGAGAACAGCGGCAGAATCTCCGCCCGAGGCACTACTGTAAGTACGATCGCCTGAAGCACCCACGAGAGAAGTGGAGTGTTGGGGAGGAGATGGAGGTGAGCTGGGGGGAGGCTGGGAGAACAAGAGGATGTGTACGGTATAGAATGCTTTTGGCTGCATGATGAAGCATTGGCGTACATAATCATAAGAGCAAGACGGCTCATGGTTGTGTGCGTTGCGGGCTATTGTATTACTCGATCGCCCGGTGCAGAATAGGCCTTGCTCAAGGGTGCACTCTAGCCTTTGCGCAACCAAGCGCGGTTTGCATGGCAACAGCGATGTCCCAGATGAGCCGGTGGCCAGTATTTGGTTCATTCACCTCTTCTGAAAAACCTTGCCGAACAGTAGATTTCGACAAGGGGGCGATGGCCATATTTAGTGGCGGGCCACATTCGCCACGTCACAACACTGTCCACAGATATTTGTGGCGTTTTGTGCGGAGTACTCTTGCCAGGAGGTAAACCCACCACATCCCCGAGCGCTGCCGCTGATCGTCCACGAGCGCTTATTCGGCTGGTCGAAACCGACCTTATTCACGGTTATCCGCGAAATAGCGGCAGTTCCCTTATCCGCGACCTGGGGATGCACGGCGATCATCCAAGATCCTCTCACTGGTTTTAGTTGTACGGCGTTGATGCTTTTGATAGATATATCTTCCTAATCCCATGTTATGTGGTCCACTTTAATTGGATTATTCGCTTTATGTTGTTATACGATATAGATTCTACAACGAATTCCTTCTGGCCCATGATCGGGAAATCGCCACCGAGGTTCGCAATGAATATGTGAATACAATGAGCAAAGTCTATTACTCGTACTTCAAAGCATACTGCAGTAAACTGACTAAACTACAGGTTCGTTCCTTAGTTTTTCGATCTCCGTTTGGTTCCATTCGAAGAGTTTTAAATTTGGTGTTCATTGCGGTTTCAATGATCTACCCTGCGCTGTGTCCTTCTCTGACCTGATTTTTATCACTCCTACCATTACTCATCGTGATTTGACTAGTTACGTCTGATTCCACTCCGAATTTATTGTTATGTGCTTCCCCCAACATGACTGTTTTCAAAACTTTCCCTAAATAGTCCTTTGTTGAATAACATTGCACTGGCCAGGTACGATATAGTCAGTGAGAATGATGGAACAATAATGAGTTACAATGGCTAAGATCTAATTACTGCAAAAAGCCTGTATTGTACGTTTTTACCATTGCGTTTCCCTCAACGCAAGTTTCTTTTAACTCCTCTTCCGTAGGAACCTTAGTTTCCAGTGAAAATGATAAGAATCTCGATTGGTAGTGAACTTCCGTCGTGATTCGGTGACTACTGCGATTGGCAGAGCGCATCATTGGAACCGAAATAGATATCTGGGGGCATATTGCGATTGCTTGCACGAAGATCCTCACCTCTCTTGGTCAGACCCTCAATTTTCGTCGTTCTTTCTGTTTCAGTTAGACACTACATCTGAGAAGGAAGTGCTACTGGCCAAACGTTTGGACGACCAAGGCAGTACGAGCACGACCTCATCCGTCATGGGTGCAATGGGTCTGTCTATGTCAGCGAGCCAGGCTATTGCTCCAGGTAACGGTGGACTTGCCACGAGTACCGGGTCTCGATTGGGTCTATTTGGATTGGGGGATCGCGCTGTCCGCGTGTTAGGACAGTCCAATTTGGAATCGGCAATTATTTTACCCCACGTTGCCGCAAAGGCTGAAGTAAAGGTAGATTTATCTTGTTTACATTGATAATTTGTTGTTTTGCTTTATAATTTAC